GTCTTCTACCTGTCACTACCTACCTAGTTCCCTCCCCATTCAACTGCTTAGTGTCTCACTAATGTAAACAAAAAGCCTACATGGAAGACAGAGACCAAAACAAAGAAATGAGAAACACAGAGAAAAATAGAGAGAAGGAGAGTTCAAAAAGGAAAAGAACAATAATATTCTAGAGACAGAAGAGAAGCTATTACATACATGAGATAAGAACAGTACCCTGTTAAAAAAAAAAAAAAAAAGGAATGTCCAGAGAATAAAAAGATGGAACTCTTGGAAATTAAAAATATGAAATAAAAAATTAAAATTCAACTTGATTGTTAGAAAAGAAGTTTGTAAAATTTCACGGAAAGTAAAACACAGAGATAAAGGATGGAAAATGAGGTCCAGAAGCTAAGAAGATGAAAGGAACAGACCAGGACATCCAACTTGCTATTAACAGGAGCTCCAGATAAATTGAACAAAGAGAGGAGTGGGGAAGGAATAATAAATAAATAATCAACAATTTTTTTCTTTTCCTGCAGCAGGGCATAATTTTCTAGGTCAAAATAATTCATCAAGTGTCCAGTAGAATGAATGTGGAAAGACCCATCCCTGGGCACATTATCATGAACTTCCAGAACCCTGGAGGTCAGAGAGGAGAATCTAAAAGCTTTCAGATATGAGATACAAAGGCTAAATTGAAATGGTATTGGTATCACATAACCACTCTGGAAGCTAGACCTCTATACTGGAGCAAACTATTGATCAAGTATAAAGACACTTTCTGTTACATAAGCAAAAATTTCACTTCCATTGTTCACTTCCTTAAAAAGTTTCTGAAGATTTGCACGACCAAGACGAGGGAAGAAATTAAACAAGAAGAAGACATAGAATCCACGGGACCGTGAGTAGAGTTGCCTCACACTAATCAGCACAGAGGGGAAAGGAAGAAAGGAAGGAACAGAGGAAGAAGAAGCAATAAGATAAGTGCAAGAAAAAAGCAGTCAGGGGACCAAGAGAGTCCTCTCTGGCTTCAGTTCTTCCTGAGGCCCATTTTTTTTTTTTTTTTTTATCCTCACCTGAGGATATGTTCCATTTTTGTACAGATAGAGTGGGAGGGAGAGAGAGGAAGGGAGAGAGAGAGAGAAACATCGACGTGAAGGGACACATCGAGTGGCTGCCACCCGCAGGACCAACCAGGGCCGGGGACAAACTGCAACCGAGGTATGTGCCCTTAGCGGGAACCGAACCCGGGTCTCTCTGGACCGCAGGCCGATGCTCTAACCGGCCAGGGCCTGAGGCCCATTTTTAATCTTGTATTTGCTTTCTGAGACACCTGATACTCTGGTAATAAATTATTTTCCTTTTATTTTTTAAAAATATGTTTTTATTCATTTCAGAGAGGGGGAGAGAGAGAGAGAGATAGAAACACCCATCGCTGCCTCCTGCACGCCCCCTACTGGGGACTGAGCCCGGAACCTGGGCATGTGCTCTGACCAGGAATCAAACCTGCGACCTCCTGGTGCATGGGGACGACACTGAACCAACTGAGCCACACCAGCCAGGGGTAAACTTTTATTTTTCATTCACCTGCAAACAAAAGTTTCCTCCTGGCATCATTGCTACTCAAGGAGTTTGAACCAGCAGCGTCAGTATCGCCTGGGAGCTGTAGAAATACACAATCTCAGGCTTCCCCAGACCTACTCAGTATACGCATTTTAATAGGATTCTGAGGTAATTTATATGGACATTAAAGTCTGAGAAGCAGCCCTGGCCCGGGTAGCTGAGTTGATTAGAGCACAGTCCCAATACGCCAAGGTTGTGGGTTCAATCCCCAGTCAGGGCACATGCAAGGGTCAACAAATGGATGTATAAATAAGTGGAATAACAAATTGATCTTTCTCTCTTTCCCTCTCCCTTCCTCTCTCTCTAAAATCAATAAATACATTTTTAAAATCCCATCATTCTTAGAAAAAGTCTGAGAAGCACTGTCCTAATATATTTTCCTTGCAAGGTTGGGTACCAGGCATATTAAAGATAATATGTGAAATACTTGGATTACATAATAGGTACTCTGTAAGGTATTCTGCAGATGATGATGATGATGATGATGATGATGAAACCAGGAAAACTTTGGAATGACAATCTCGGGAAGGGTTCCTGGGATCGTGGCAAATGGTAGCTCTGAACCAAATTATAAAAGAGGAAGACACAGCTCTGGCTGGTTTGGCTCAGGAGTTAGAGCATTGGCCTGTGGACCAGAGTCCCAGGTTTGATTCCAGCGAAGGGCACGTACCTCGGTTTTAGTTTGTCCCTGCCCCGCTTGGGGTCGTGCAGGTGGCAACCAGTCAATGTGTCTCTCTCACATTGATATTTCTCTCTCTCTCTCTCCCCCCCTTCCTCCCACTCTGTCTGAAGATGTAAAAATATCCTCAGGTGAGGATTAAAAAACAAAAAAACAAAAGAGGCACACAACTTAAAAGGGAGAAAGCACATGTATATCAGAAAACAAGTTTCAGCTCTACTCCAGGAGCCTGTCAGGTTAGTAAGGCCAGGGTTGACATGGGAAACCATTGAGAAAAACCACCTCCCAGGTGAAGCAATTGGCCGCGAATGAGTGACTGACACTCAGCATCCGCGATGACGCCTGGCTGGGGAATGCTGAGCTAGTGCCACCTTTTCGGTGGGGCAAGCGTTCTGCCCCAGCACCTAGAAAGTAGTCAGGAGGAAACATCCCAAGTGAGCAGCTCCTGGTTGCTTTTTTTTTTTTAATTTAAAAAAAAATTTTTTTTTTTTTATCCTCACCCGAGGACATTTTTCCATTTTTTGTTCAGATAGAATGGGGAGGGGGAGAGAGAGAGAGAGAAAAACCTTGACGTGAAAGGGACACATCGAGTGGTTGCCACCCTCACGACCCAACCAGGGCTGGGGACAAACTGCAACCAAGGTACATGCCCTTAGAGGGAACCGAACCCTGGTCTCTCTGGACCGCAGGCCGACGCTTTACCACTGAGCCAAACTGGCCAGAGCCCTGGTTGCTTTTTCAGGCAGAAACCTGTGGCCCATAGGACTGGGGGTGCAAGGGGGATGGGAAGTGAGGCGGTTGGGGGGCCACTGCGGGGCAGGGGTAGGAAATGGTACCCCATTCTTGGCAGGGCAAGGCTGCCTCTCACATAGTTTTCCTGACTCGTGTCCCCTGGCATTCAGCCACCTTATTTGTGCTTGGGGGTTCCATTGACTGTCCAATGCTGAGGAAATCTGAATAGAAGCTGGGATTTTAAAGATTTCAAAGAAAAAACGAGATGTGCTTGCAGAAAGCTGGTGCCCATCTCAGCTGTGGGTGGAGGATGCTATCCCAGGTGTATACCTCCCCAGGAGTTATTAGTCATTGCATTCTTTTTTTTTTTTTAAAATCCTCACCTAAGGATATTTTCTCATCTTTCTTCAGATAGAGCAGGAGGGAGAGAGGAAGAGAGAGAGAGAGAAACATCGATGTGAGAGAGACATCGTTTGGTTGCCACCCACACGACCCCAACTGGGGCCAGGGACGAACTGCAACCGAGGTATGTGCCTTGACCAGGATCGAACCCGGGACTCTTTGATCCATGGGTCAATGCTCCAATCGCTGAGCCAAACCAGCCAGGGCAGTCATTGCTTTCTAATTGTCCCCCAATTGTACGGCACTGTACTCAATTCTTGAAAGTTTTTACTGGAGAAGCACCCCAGCCCTCCAAGAATTTACACAAAAGAGTCCCCAGTCCTTTAAAACACCTGTAGAAATCTTATCCTATTCAAAAATAACAAATTCCTATATTGTCAAATGGCTGTCCTTGTGAAGGCCAATTATAGTTACCAACTCAGTCGCCACCACTACAGCAACAAAAGCTTAACATTAACATTGAATAGCAGCAAACAATAATGTGCTTACTATGTACTTCCTGAGCATTTTATTTAACTCGTTTACTCCTCACAGCCTTGTGAGGTTAAACACAATTTTAATCCCCATTTTACAGATGAGAAAGCTAAGGTATAAAGAGGTTAAATGAGGTTACACAGCTAGTCAATGGCAGTCTGGCTCCAGAACCCCTGTTCTTTAACCATTGTACTCAAACCATGGGCACAGATGCCCTTGGAGGACAAGGTGTCAGAAACAGCTCTCCTGCTAACGAAGACCATTTTAACCTTAACAAGCTATCTGATTTTAGCCCTATAACTCAGAGGCAATATGGTGAGGGGCGAGAGCAGAGGTGTCAGAGTTCAAAGATCTGAATTCTAATCCTGATGCTGCCATTCAGAAAGATAGGGTGCTGATGCTGATTGATGCAGAGCACGTGTCAGGTGCTGAGTGCTTTCCATGCTTCATCTTCCCAGGTAGCCTGTGTGACCTTATGCCAGTCCCTGTCCCTCACTGGGTGTCAGTATCCTTACAGGTCAAGTGGGCCAGGTGGTTTCAGTGATTCCCCGAAGAGTCACTGCGTGCACGAGTGCCCTGCCAGGTGCTGAAGCGACACAGAGACAATAAAATACAGACCTTGCCTTTGCGAGGCTCACAGTCCAATTCTCTTTCATTTTGTGACTCCTTCGGTGTTGAGCAGGTCAATTATTATCCCTGTTTTTTTTAAATGGGGTAAATGATGTTTGAACACGGAATGTCACTCAATTCAGTTGTAGCCAGAGTGCGACCCCAAGTTGACTCTTAGCTCAGGGCTCTTTCTGCTCACAACTGTCCTACCTCATCTTGACATCACTGTGATGAAAAACTTCAAGGTCTACTGAGAGTTCTTAGCTTCCCACAGTCATTTTGTACCACCCGTCTGCCTTCCCCATCCCAAGCTCACACACACACACACACACACACACACGCACACACGCACACACACGCACACACGCACACACACACACCCAATGCTGTCAAGTGACTGGAAACCAGCCCCCACAGGCAACCCTCTTTTTTTTGTGTGCCAAAAGCCCAGGGTGCAGTACTGAGATGGCAAATGCGCTGTCAGCAAAGCCACAGTTACCATATGCATCATGACTCATTACCCCATCCGCTGAGTTGGAACTGAAGCCTCTTGCCCCATAAGTAATTACTGGTGAACAGGAAGACCTCAGCTAAAAATAAGGTTACTCTGGTGGCTGAGAGGAAGGGGGTCAGTGAGCACCTTCTTCTGTTAGATACACCTTCTTCCACCATGGGCTCCTCTGCAGAAATCAGCACAGTGCCCTGCATACAGTAGGTGCTCAGCACAGCTTTGCTGGTGGATTAGCTGCTCTGAGCTACTCTGCTCAGCACAGCTGCAGGATGGGGTTGCTAGGCAGAAACATAATATGTGTGTCTAGCACCTAAAGGAAATGACTTCAACTCGCTCTTGTTGAGCAGAGCTGAGCCAGACCTACAAGAACTGCAGCACTGAAAATCCATTCCTTAAAAACTCTCACTTCTGCAATCTATCCTAAGAACTTCCTTTTCTGTACTCTAGGATAGGGGAAGAGGTACATCTACCCCATGCTTACTTGAAGTGGTGTTAAGAGTGCAGAAGAATTTGAGAAATTATTTAGTCTAAGCTCCTCCTGGTCACATCTTCCTAAGCTTCTCCATGTTGACGTTCTTCCCAGGTTTTTGCCACATCTCTTCCTTGGCCACATCCTCCTCCCAAAGCTAGAGTCAGGAGAGACAAAAACTTTGGTGTGTTTCCAGGGACCAAGGCCACTGTTGCTCATTGTAGGAGGTCATCTCCCAATATCTATTTGACCTTCTTGCAGGATGGTAGGGTTTTTGACTGGGTTCTTGACCACCTAGCTAAAGACAATCTTTCCCAGTGTTTTTTACAGAATGTCCACATGACCAGGTTCTGGTTAATGAGAAGTTAGCAGGAACGATTGTGCCCTTGAGAGGAAGGCCCATGCCCTATCCTCTCTTGCCTTGACTAGAATGTGGACATTGTGGTGAGCCTTTTTCAACCACATAAGTCAAATATCATAAGAGCAGAGCAACAAGCTAGGAGGAGCCTGGGTCCCTAACACCGGGAAGCCATCATATTATCCCTGAACTGTTTGCACTCAGACTGTTGTTACACACAGGAGAGAAATAAACTTCTATCTTGTCTAAGCCTTTATTATTTGGGGTTTTGCTATAGCAACCAAACTTGTATTCTATCTAACACAACCCCGTTTGGGGGGTCAGGGCAGTCACAACCTCCTCTTCTCTGAGATTCCCGCAACTCTACTCACCCAGGAGGTAGCCTAGAGAGATTATACTTAAGAGATTATAGTGGCCTATGAATGCCAAATGGACTAGGGGTAGATATTCCATCCAAGCAGGGCCAGCCACTCAAAGTGTTTTTTTCATGAATTTGCAAATAAGATTCACTGTTGCTATCCAGCTGATTACATACACCAAGATGCACAGGGAGAAGCAGAAACGAGAGGCCAGGCATCCCTAGGGAGACAGAGTGAAAGCTGCCTGGGTTGGTATGGACTTCCAGCTTTCTGGTTCCAGGCCTTTGTACGACCCTCATAATCCCTCTGCACATGGCTTCTGGAGGAGACCCTGGCACCTTATAAGAGCCCTTTTTGTATTAGATGCTTTGGGCTCATTTCTGTTACCTGTAATCAAAAGTACACAAGTTTCTTCTGATCCTTGTAAAGATCTGGGTATTCTTGCAAGGAAAGAGACCCATCCCTCTGCAGCCCAACCCCTGGCACACTAGATTCTTCCATCATTGCAACAATACAAGATTCTGAGATGAACTAAATGAGCTGAAGGATTGATTGCCTGATTGATGGGCTAGCAGGTCAACCCATGGACTTTGCGAGGGGTGCTCAGCAGGTCTCATGGAATCACAGATTCCAAATCTGTGATAAAAGGGGCAAAAGGCATCAGGCAAAGTGTGGTCAAGGAGGTTTAGTGCTGTGCCCCAAACCACACAGTTCAGTGGCACAGCCTGGACTGGAATCCTAGCCCCGGACCCCAGGCTCTCTCTTCTTCCCCTGCCCTTCCTGGCTGGCCTGATTTTAGGGGGTGCTCTGACACCCAGGAACAGCTCCCACATGCTGATGAGCAAACTATGACAGCTGTATCAAACCTGTCATTTCTGTGGCTTCTAGGAAAAATGCAAAATGACTCTTTCCCCTTTTTTTCTGTGTCATTCCCTCTAATTCAAAATCTCACCATGAATTTTAAAGAATGAAGACTCCTCTTCCAGGCATGGAGAAACGAGTGTACCTCCACCGTATGCCAGGCACTTTCCAGCTACTATTTCATTTAAACCCTCTAAGAACCCATTTTCCAGGAAAGGAAGGCGAGGTTGAGAAAGAGTAAGCACACAACACAGGTAGCGCAGCTTGCCCAGGACCCGCAGCTGGGAGGAATGATGATACCAGGAAAGGAATCCGGCCGGTCTGGTTGAAACCCTATCTGTGTCTCTCAGGCCATGTCATGCTGCCTCCCGAGGATCAGGCCTTCCGATCCGTTTGGCCTTTACTTTCCAGACTCCTCCATGGGCACCTGCTCAGCAGGGCTTGATTTGGGTCAGTCAGTGCTGGGCTGGTGGGGGAGGGGTGGTGTGCCCCATGGTGCCCATGGGAAGCTCAGCAGATGGCACTCTTCTCCCAGCCGTGCCCTCTGATTTTCTCCTCTAGGGGCCTGTCCTCCCTCCTCCTCCACCTCCACTGTTTCCCACTAGCCTTAGGCCACGGTTCCCACCCCCATCTGTAGTATGTTTTAGTGCCTGGGCTCTAACCTGATTCCTGTCTCTCCTTTACCCTCAACAAAGGACACCGTGGTTACTCCTAAGTGCTGCCTTCTTCAGAGCAGTGGTCTGGTTCGCTCAATTCGTCCTCAGAGAAGGAGACCGGGGCCCCACGTCTCAGAGCTCGGCCTGCCTTTGCACCCAGAGCTGAGTGTCTCTCTAGCTCAGGTTCCCAGAGGCCCGAGGGCAGGACTGTGTCTCCACATGCCGGGTGGCATGCATTGTCAGCGCCCTTAGAGAAACAAACAGCTGTCATGCAAAGACTAGGAAGCTGCCCGGGCCGGGGAGGCTGTGGCCCTAAGCTTGGAAGCCGTAAGCCTGAGGTCTGATCTCTCCCGCTCAGCTCGCACACGCATATCCCTCGCACTACCGTAGAGGCCACGCAGGGATTCCAGGAAGACTTTGCAGGTCCATGGTCTCTCTGAATAAAATCCTCTCTGATTTTATTGTGGAGTAGAAATATAGAGATATAATGTCTATTATAGATATAATGTCTATACTAGAGATTATTGTCATGGAGACGGCGACTGATCTTAGGAGGGTATGTGTCTGGACCTTTGGGTGGTGGCAGCTCAGAGTTTTGGGGAAGGGATTGCAGAGAATCTTCCTCACAGTGAAAAATGCGATTGACTGGTCCCAGGGACAACAATGACCGTGTCCAAGGATTCGCCAGGAAACTCACCCCTGCACCCCCTCCAAACAGGAAGGAGGCCAAGAACAGGGACGTCTTGACTATGAAATGGGTCTATCTACCAGTTTGTACATCAGAAGCTAGACTTCTGAATGGTGTCAGGAAACTGCACCGTCCTCTCTTCATACCTTTAAAATGTGTCCAATAGAGAACACCCTTCTGTACAGCAGCCTCTTTTGTGACCTGATTCCGGAGACAAGATTCCCTCGTTACTCCATTAAAGGATTAAAAGCCCCTGGGCACTCATCTTCCAAAACAAACACGAGGGTTCCGGCACTTGCGATGCTAAAATTGCCTGCATCTCATGAAGACAGTGCGTTACCCTGCTGTCGTCCCGAGTCCTCTAGCCACAGCACATGCTAACAGGGCGTCAGAGGAAAGACAGTGGGGAGGAACAGGTGGCAGCCAAAGCATGGTGTCCCTGCAACGGCTTCCCAGGCTTCTCCCTGGCAGTAAAGCCCTGGCCTCATGCTGAGAAGCCTTCTAACCCCTATCTCTCTACACCCCCAGCCCCAGCCTCCCTTCTGCCTCCCAGACCTATCTCCACAATAGCTGATGAGGTAAGTGTCCTGGCCACAACGCAGTTCACCTCCCCTTTTTCCTGGGCTTGTAATTAAGGGGTGTCTGTAAAGCTCTCAAGCTCCTTGGGATAAAAGGACAAGTCTGGCCCCTGTGCTTTTGCTCAGAGTTCCCCGAGCTCCCAAGGAGGTCACTGCAGGTGGAGGTGACGGCCAAATGCGGGGGCTCTGGGCACAGCCCTCAGCCAGGCTCACAGGGTGCCCTTGCCCCTCGGCCTCCAGGTCCCATGGTGTTGGCATGTTTTCTGTTTGCTCTTTCCCCAGGATGTTCTGATTTCCTCACCTCAGCTCTCTTTGTTTAGCCACAGAGGTTGGGCAACCGCGGTGGAGCAGCGAGGCCGGGCCCTCTTTGTAGGAAAGGGCTATCCTCTCAAGTTCCCCGAGCCTCACCTGGCTGGTCACTCTCTCTGGGCATTGCATCAAAGGTCTCACGCCCAGAGACCTCGGCCCATACCTGCCTGTCGCACGGAGGCAGTGGTGTGCCCTGGCCGGGAGTGCGGGCTCGGGGTCCCCCGCCTGAGCACCAGTCCCGGATCTTCCACCTCCTAGCTCTGTGACCTTGACCTTCTCCCCGAGGTAAATAAAGTTCAGACTAGTTCCTCTGTTACAGAGATACTGTGAGGATCAAACAAGGTAATTTGTTTGACGTTCCTGGCCTTTGGTAAGAGCAGTCAAAGAGGTTTTCTTTTCTAAGAAATGTTGATGCTAGCCCTGGAGTGGCCCAGTGGATTCGGATCAGCAAGTCTTCCTTGGAAAGCCAAAACAAATAGCTCTTCCTGCCTCACCCAGTGCCCTTCCTGCCTCCGAGTAGTTGTACTTTCTGCCTGGGCCCAGGGCGCAGTATCTAAAGCTACAGAAGAGGTCGGTGGAGTTCAACTGATGTACCTCTCCAGGCAGAGACGTGAGTATGGAGTTCCTGCTTCACCGGCTTAAGGATCCTCTCATTTTCCTTTGCCCAATTTGAGGGTGAGGATGTAGTATAAGTTGGTCACCATTTTCAGTCTTTTCCTTTCTAGAGAGAAGAATGAACACTCTGCCGCTTTCTAGAAGGGAGCCTGAGTCACGGCAGGTC